CTTTCCCGAGGTCATAGTGAAACTTACATTGTTGTCTGGATGGAGGTAAAAGTAAATAATGGAAAAAATACTCTGTGATTAAAACGTAAAAATTGAATGATGCAGACACAGGTGTTCAAGGCATGGAACATCCAGCATTCCATCCAGTAAATGAAATGGGGTGTTTTTTTTCAAGTAGTATCCCAGTAGATTTGCCGTGTTCTAGTGATAGACACCTTTCAATTCAATTTAATTCTATATTGCAGTGCATGTTGGCTTACAAAGGAAATATGTTAAAATAAGTAGAGGCTGTCTCAGGTTACTCTGAAGCATGTTTGTTTTCAAATAGCTAAATGTTTGACTTGTTAAGCTCTTGAAATATTAACAGGAATATGTGTGGAATTTACATGCCTAGAAAAGGATCAGCAGTCATCCTGAAAAACCTAACAGATTAATTTCTCAGTTTAACTTTGCTGTCTCCAAACATTGTTCTGTGTGTTTTGTTCACCTGAACGACTTAACAATGAGCATTTAACTTCTTTACGACATCAAATGATATTAGTGGTTTTATTTAGCAGAAGGAACCCCGCATATAAAAGCCTATGATGAAGAGAGTGTAGCCTCTCTGAGTACAACACAAGATGAGACGCAAGACAGTTTCCAGATGAACAACGGGACACCAAATTCCAGTTATATCCTACAAGGTGGCTACATGTTGGCTGCATCCTACTGGCCAAAGGCAAGTTTAGAAATACTACTTGGAAAACCATAGTTGTAGGAGAAGGTGGACTGTGACATTAGCATTCAATTAAATATGTTAAAACCATACCACTGAGTTATGGGGAGATTCTGGAAAAAAAACATAATTTTGTTCATGGTAAAATACAGTAAAAATACGACAAAACATTTTATACATCAGTTGTATAGCTGTATGTGTAAAAGAGAATGTTCACATAGGAAACGAAACTTTAAAGGAAGCATATTTAAGATGAAGATGAGATAATTTGTCCGGTATTTGGATGATCTTAAGTCTGGGAGAGGAATTGTTTAGACTAGTTCATAAAAACGTAAAAAAAAAAAAGAAGAAACAGAACAAGAAATCAGTTAGGAAAGTGTTTCTGCTATTTAGTTTAGTAGTAGTAGGACTCCTTCAGCTACACTGCAAAATCCTAAGTCATATTAAAGTATGGGCTGGCTGCAGCACTGGTGTAATACAACTTTTAACTATACGATTCCGCATGTGAATTAGTGAAATTCCGAAGTATGCTTTGAAAAGATAATAACGCTAAGTGAGTGGAAATTAATCTTGTTTGAAATAAATACTGAATATTTTTCAGCTCCTTAGTCATATCTGAATTTCTATGGCTGACATAGCTTGGAAGACCACAGAGCAGTTTCTTAAACTTTTAATTACTAGCTTAACTAAGAAGATGAAGAAAAAATTGCTGGGATGCCTGTTCACTACATAAACTTCAACTGTGATATATTTTTGGATAGGTTTCTTTCCTGAGGAAGGTCTGAAAAGGAAGGCAGCACAGGAGACACAGTGATGAAACAGGGAAAATAAACGTAGGATCTGACCTTCAGGAGCTTTTAGTTGTTACGTCTGCTCCTGGAAGATGCATTTAAGCCTAAACACTACTTTTCATAATTTCTGAATGTTCGTTTTTGGGAAGGGGAGCATAACTTTCGTGTCACAGGTGCTTCGCAGATAGTGAAAAATTCCATTCAAAGTGTATAAAATCAGACTTTTTTTTAAATACGGGGTGGGGGAGGTGTCTTGAACCTGGCAAAAAATGTTTGCTTACAGAACAGGTAATTTAAACATTCATATTTTTTATTTGACAAATAACTGCACTCTGAAATTATCAGAAAACCTGGTAGTTTCCAGAGTCTACGTGTACTTAGCTGAGTTTACTGGGACTCGAGATCTATGTATTCTGCAGGTGTGTGAAGTCAAGTCTGTGTTTGGTGTCTAAAGAATGGAACAGTGGTTTCAAAAGCTAAAGTGAGACATGAACAAAAGTCTGTAGATTTAGTTTTATAAGTGCTGTCTGCCAGATACGTTACAGTGTGCTGCTCACAGGTTCAGACCCTGCTACCAAGGAGTGAAAGCCAGACCTACAAACGCTATGGTAGTTAAATTATCTCATTGATTTTTAAAGGGAAGATACGGTGTTTCAAGCATTTCAGGCCCCAGACCCTGTATAGATAAGAGAGATTGCATGTTTGTTTACAGCTGGTGAAATTGAGTACAGAGGTGGCTTTCACAAACTTCTATAGGGCATCGGTACAAATACAGGAACTGAGAAATCTTCTAAGTCCAAGCGCAGTGATTAAAAATGCTGTTGTATCTCTTCTTTTTAGAATTAGAAGATAATACATAGATGTAATGTGTACAGTGTTGGTAAACATTACTGTTACGAAAATATTTTCTCTGTTATTTAGGATCGAGTCATGATTAATCGACTTGACAGTATTTGTCAGACAGTGTTGAAAGGTAAATGGCCTTCAGCAAGAAGGAGCTATGACAGCAATACGGTGGCATCTTTCTACACAACCAAACTTCTGGATAGCCCAGGTGCAGCTGCAGATTACAGCGAGCCCAGTGTACCAACACCCCCTCTTGCAGGTGTTAAAGAAGAATATGATCAATCACCACAGATGTCAAAGGTGAAGAAGCATGTACGAGAAAAGGAGTTTACAGTGAAAATCAATGACGTATGTTTATTTTTATTGCCCTAGGACCTGATTGCGATTGCGGTGTGCGGCATGCTTTACCTGCAAGTGGCTGCCTGCTTTCACTGTCACTTCCTTCACACACTTGTTTGTGGGTATTTGGGTCTGCTGCTTCTGGGCATTGAGTGTTTGGGTTTTGGGGTTTTTTGTTTGGGTGTTTTTTATTTGCATAAGCCACTGGAAGGAATCATTGTTATTTCTCTCTGAATTGAAATTTTGGCATTCTGGTGCTTCCTCAGACAGCCTGTTTTATGCCGTTTCTTAGAAATCTGGTTAGTAAAGACAGGTATTTGTTGTTTTCCTTTTTTTTTTTTTTTTAAACGTTTCAGCATGTCTGATCCAGCAAGCACTTCATTATTTCATGGCCTTTTAGAGGGTTATAGGTAAATTTCCTAGTTCAAATGCAGGCTAGAAGCTTCAAACATTTTTCTTAGCTTTAGTTTGAGACCTGTTTGTAGCACATACAAATGTATGAAAATTTCCTCTTGTAATTGGGTTTGGCATTTCTTTAGGACCGGATTAGGGAGCTGGACAGCTGTTCAGTGTCAAGTTTATATTCATAGAAGCAATTCCATGCAATTTCTGTTCAGATTTGGTTTTTACATGGAGGAGAAGCAAGACTTGTTTTAAGGTCTAATACAATGTTTTCATTCTTCCTGAACTCTTCTGGAGTAACTGTTTGTATTTGAGAATCCTGATTATGAAGTAGTCATTTCTGCTTCAGAAGAGACACTTCTAACCCTGGCATTTATTTAACAGGAAGGTGGTTTGAAATTGACTTTTCAGAAGCAGGGACTGTCTCAGAAAAGGCCATTTGAAAGTGAGGAAGGTGCACTGGGGCAGCAGCAATACCTGGCTCGGCTACGTGAACTCCAGAATGCTTCAGAAACCAGTCTTGTCAACTTCCCAAAATCACTTCCCAAATCAGGTACATAAAATGTCAGAGGGCCTAAGGGTTAGTATTAAATCTTATCTTCTGGGTTCTTCTTTTGATCTCCATGTATAGGCAGTGGAGAGAGATTTTTGCAATGTTATTTGTTCTAAACTGCAGTCTGGAGGAATTCTCTCCAGTGTGTTAGGGAAATGGAGCACCTAAGTTGAGGCATGAGTTTGGACGCATGAATACTCTCTCGCGGTGTCAGTTACTGTAATGTTCATTTATTAGAAGGATCCCATTATACATCATAAACACCCCCACAAGAAGATTTCCGTAATCATAAAGTGCATCACTCTACACTGACAGTAATCAGTTTCTATCTCAGAGCTTACTGTAGCTAGTTTGTAAGTAAAGATGAAGAGTTCCATATTAGTGCCTGTGTCAGCTTGCACTACTTATATTCTTCCCTGCGTCTCATAAAGAAATAGTGGAGGACAATAGCCTAGAACCAATTTCTTGGCTATAAGCCAAAACTTACAGCTTATTTTCATAAAAAATAATATTGGGTGTACACTGCCAAAAAGGAGCGTAAAGTAAGCAGTTAGAATTTGGATTAAAATACTTGAAATTGTTAGAATTGGGTGCTAGATTTAGGCCAGCTTCTGATGAAATGACTGCATTTCATTGAGATTGCATACATACATGGATGAGAACATTTCCTTTAAAAAAAAATGCTACCCTTCACTTGCATTTTGTACTTTATTGTTCTTTTGCAACATACCGTTAAGGTCTTGTTATAAATATTTATTTAGGGATGTGTGCCTCTGTGTGTGTGATGTCAGCAGTTTTTAACAACTCTCCTTTTCCTGTACAGATTTTTTGGAGGGGGTCGGGGACAGTAGTAGGAAACCTTCATAGTAGAGTGGCTTTTCAGAGACTGATACTAGTAGTGTTTTAAACAACCATAAAACAATAGGCAATTTCTGTTAGATATTACATGTATGCACTTGCACTAGGTCAAGTAATTTTCTTTCCTTTTTTTAATTCAGACATGTTTCTTGTTACAAACAGCTCAAGTGTCTGACATAAATTTCATTGCATCATTAATTAGGTACTTCCAGTCACTTAACAGCCTGTGCCAATGGAGTCATAGTTGACAGTCAGCCTGCAGTCAAAAAGAGAAGAGGAAGAAGGAAGAATGTGGAGGGAGTTGATGTCCTCTTTATGAATAGAAATAAACAGCCTAATCATGTAAGTAAACTTGATTTTTGTATCCAAAAATAAGGTCAAAGTTACTGTTAATCCGTTAACTGAGCATCACCAGCTCTCAACGTAGAAGAAAATCTTCATTTCTCAAAACTGTTAGGTTTGGGTTTTTTGTTTTTTTGAAGTTTTTCACTGACAGTTTATGACTATACAAATGAGAACTGGTAGAGCTTTACCAAATGTTAGATATATACAATATTAATAACTATTTTTCAACAGTAAGTTTGATTCTAGTTTTGATGAACTGTAATTAACAGTATGTTATTAAAACCTTGATATTTGACCTAGCAACACTTTCTGACATGCTCTCCTGTAACATCTGTTACAGGACCTGATTGTACAGTGACTTAAAGGAGCTATCTGTGGCATGAGTAGTCTCGTTGAGTCCTTGGGTGTGTGCATAATGATCTGCAGGACTCTGGCCTTCATTGTATCATGCATGAAATAATTGTGATGCTTTGTTTTCTATGGAGAACTTAGTCAAATGTTTTTCATTTCTCCAGGTTAATCCAGGTATTAACTCCTGTCAAGTTGCTGCAGGAATAAACCCAGCACTCACTTACACGCAGTCCCAAGGCATGCTTGATGCAGAGAGTCCAGTCCCTGTTATTAACCTAAAAGACGGAACAAGGCTTGCAGGTGATGATGCACCCAAAAGAAAAGATTTAGAAAGGTGGCTTAAAGAACATCCTGGATATGTTGAAGACTCAGGAGCCTGTATTCCTGTGAGTATTCCTTTCAGCTCTCCTTCAGCTAAATAGTAAAACATTTCTCATAAAATATATTTGGATCTGTATTCTGTGTTAATGGAATTACTCCTTCAGAGTTAGCTAAGGTAGGAAAACTCATATTACCATGATGCTGCTGATAGGAGCTGAAAGCAGTATATTTAGTGATGTGCAGGAGGATTAAAGACATTACTGAGGGATGTATCTCATACCTACATTACAGTGCTATGGTAGTGATGTTTGTGTAGGTATGATGTTCTCATATTACCTCTGAATTTGGGATTTGTTAACACTGAATAGAATGTAAGAAAATCATATGTATGATATCTGGAATAACAACCTTACTTGTCCATAAAGATGTTATAATACAAAACAGTAGCAACATTCCTGACAGTTAAAGCACTGTTGAAAACTGAAAAATTACTAAAACAAAGCAATGGCTAGAGGCATCAGAGAGGATTTTCTGCTGTTTACTTGGCTGCTTATTATATGATTGTGATTAGTAAATTAGTATTGTTATTAAAATATTTCTGAAGTCAGAGATGGTGTCAAGTGAATGCCTGACTCAAGAGAATGCACAGATATCTTACATTTTAAAAACAATTCTATGGGAAAGGTAATTGACTTTTTAATTCCTTTATAACAGAGGATGCAGCTGCACGATGGGAGGCCCAAACAAAAAAGACACCGTTGTCGAAACCCTAATAAACTGGATGTTAATAGTTTGACTGGTGAAGAACGTGTTCAGCTTATAAATAGAAGAAACGCAAGAAAGGTATTTATAACACTATTCCCATTCTGATGTTCCCTAACTAAAAAGTTACCTGAAGAACTCTATATGCTACACTTGCTAAAATACTGTGCAAAATGAAAGGTTACTGTTTTAAGGTTTTGGCACAGAGCAAGAAAGTCAATAACAATCTTCTAGTAAACGTTTTGCAACTATGCAAATATGTAAGATACGGTTAGAAACTTACCTTGTGGTTTATGTTCAGATAGAATTGATCACTCAATATATTATGGTATTTGTGTCAATGACTAATACAGAGGCATGGCCACTGAAATACGTGTTTGTCTGATCAAAGGAGAAACCTCCTCATCAGTTAAAAATTTTGTGTATATCTTCTCATTACTACTTACACGCTATTGACATTATATTGGTAGTGCATCATGCATAGAAACGTGTCCACTGGAATTACTTAAATCCTGTGTACTGGATTATTTTGCTTTTTCTTTTTTCAATTATCTCTGGCATTTGACCTTTATGGTGCACCAGTAGATATCCGTTGCAAATCACATTGCTAGGTTAAACAGTAGTGTATTACAGGGGAACAAAAATAGAAGGGGCATTCTTGTATAAAATCCCAACAGCGGAAGATGGGAGACCAGGTGTTGAAATTAAGTTTTTGGACAGGTGATCAAAGTTTGGGAAAGGCATAATGCATTTGAACAGGCTTTGGGGAAGGCTAAAAGGCGATACTCAAGAAATGCATGCAGAACATTACTGTTGTTTATTGAACAAATTTGGACACATGTGTGGGGATGGTGTCTTTGAATGTCAATGTAGTACCAGAGCAGCAGTCCACGTGTGAGTCTGTGAGGTATTGTGTCAATGTATGGAGTATCTTCTTTTATGATACTGCTAGCGTTTCTTTTCGTTAGAGAGCAGTTGCAAGGAAAGCAGGCAATTTTTTTATGCTCTATACTAAGGTCAGAAGCTTGGTGCATCTGTATAGAAGAGTGATGCAGAGCTTGAGAGTCTTTAATCTCTTCAGTGCGTTGAGACAGCAGCTCTAAAGAGGAAACTGTATGGTTGCTAGTCTCTTGAAAAACAGACCCTTGGCTGCTCTACAGTAAGCCGTGCCCTGAGGAATCCTTTCGAAGTTGATGATCGAGGAGTGAGAGATTTGATCTGCGCTTGCTGTAAAAGCCTGTGTATTCATGATGGCTTCTGTAATAAATTTCCACACCATAGTTGAGGCTCTGTTCTGTTACTTTATTAACCTCAGTTTTCCCATTTATAACGTGTCCCCAACTTCTCTGTATCACCAAACTCATTTTGTCTTGTTTTCTTTTTTAATTCAGTTATACATTTAGTAGCAGGGGGTGAAGAGACCAAAAGTAGCCTAGAAATGTGAGTTTAAGTTGCAGTTTATAAAGTTGAGCAGAAGCTGGAATTCTTTTGCCTTTCTTCCCTCTACCATTTCTTCTTTCTTTCTGGATATGAACAATACTTCTGATTAATTTGAAAGCTTACTTTCCTGCTTATATGATTTTATTAAGGCACGCTGCCTAGCAGTCTTAACTTGGCCTTTTTCACATGAAAAAAATATAAGAAATAATTTCACAAGAGAAACAGAGCCTCTTCATGGAAGTATTTTTAGAAGTAGACTGAGATGATAGGATGGGACTGAGTTAGTGCATAAAGGACAAGTTTAACAGGATTGTAGTTACAAGCTTCTTGGTAGTACTTGGACTGCTATTTTTCTCTATTTGTGTGGCTGCTCTTCCATTCACTGCATGTCTAAATAAACTCTGATATTAAACTTTACTAGGAACATTGAACATTGAAGTTGCAAAATATGAGTTTAATACATGAGCTTGAGTTTAGTAGATTTAGAACAAATCAAGAGTATCTCACATACACCACCAGGAACCAGTCAAAAGCTATATCCTACTCATTGATAATTTACTATGAGACTTTATTTGTATTGTTTTATACAAAAGGCAGAAATGAAACCAGGTACGAAATGTTGCCTTTTTCTTACGAAATGAGAAGTATTTCCTGACTTCTGTCTTCTGCTTCTTAGGTGGGGGGTGCGTTTGCTCCTCCTCTGAAGGATTTGTGCAGGTTCTTGAAAGAAAATCCAGAGTATGGAGTGGCTCCTGAATGGGGCGAAGTTGTAAAACAATCTGTGAGTATTTGCAGAATAAGATGACTGTGACATGAAATGTATCTTACGAACAAACAAGGCAACAGGGGAAAAAAAAAAAAAGGCATGCCAAAAGGCATGCTTTTCATTTCTGGTATTATATTAAATGCGGAATGTGAGCCCATGTTAGCTTTTTTCCTGCTAGCTCTGTTTCCTGAACTGGTTTGCTGGCACAGCTGTGAGTAGGAGGGAGGGAGAGTGGCTGGCAACCCCAAATTAGAAATTTGGTTGAAGGTACTGTAATACTGTGACTTTTTTCATCTCATAAATGTAGCCTTGAAGATTTTAAGAAAGGTATTAGCCCACGGAACACTTATTCTTCAAGTTACAGTTAGGAAGATAAATACAATTTTAAATATTTATTTCACTTTTTAGTTGATATACTTCAAGTGTGCACCTTTAAGGAGGTTTTGTTTTTAGCTAAAAACTAGTGTTGAGATTCTAGTGGAGGGAACAAGGTTAATACAAGTAGGAGTATGTCTGCACTACAGCTTCAGTATTGGCCATGTATTCCTACTGAAAGGATTACCAAAAAAGTTAGTGATAAAAGTAGTATGTTCCGTGGTAGTCCTGAGCCAGCTTCTTACTAGTAGCAAGATGCATTCAGTGAGTTTGAGGTTTTGTTTTGTTTGAGGTTCGTACTTGGTTAAATTTTAAAAGAAATTTTTTTGGTGGACTTAGTCCACAGTTCCAACAAAACAGCAGGAACGCATTTTCATTACGGGAACTTTAATATAGCTGATGGCTTTTTCCTTTTAAGTGTCATTGGTTCAAGTATAGTGTGTGGTTATGAGTCCATTCCCCATTTGCCTTGAACATAAGGACATACATTGAACTTGAAAAGTTGTGTTTGTGTAGTAAAGAATGGTTTCTGGGTAACGCAGTTACTCTTCCATTCCATGTGTCTAACAGAAGTGAAGATGGTTTTCTCAATATTCTTGTGAAGCCTGTTTCCTCACCTACTAGGACTTGTCAGAAGTGTATTATATTTACGCTACACCTTCAGCCTAATCTTTCTGTGAAATTCTAAATGCTGGTCTCTCCAGTACCCTGGTGGGACATTCTGGTAGAAAAATAGGTAACTAGGAGCAGGATTACACTGCAGTGAACAAGGTATGAGTAATAGCAGAATTACTTGTAGAATTTAGTAGTGATCCACAGGACAGAAGAACAGAGCATGAGTTCTGAGTTCCTCTAGTTGTATTGGTGTATTTTAAATTAGAGATATTTTCTGGGCAAAAAAAGGCTGTTGTAGTACGGAGGTGAGTAATAGTTGATCTTACAATTGCCGTTTTTAAGAGGAATTTTCAAGACAATATATTTCAAAGAGGTTAATATTAGTGTCCATCGTGATTCTTTCTTCATTAGGAGGTCTTAGAGGTGAAGTAATACTGTACAAGCTCTAAAAAGAAGTGCTCTGAATTTCATTCTTAAGTTTATGGATGAGGTGAAATATGAGGATGTTTAACAGACACTAGCAATAGTAAAAAGGGCTCGGAGATTGGTCTGTGTGCAGTCACACATTTATATTTAACTTCAAATCGAGTAACTAATTTTTTTAATTGAACTGTCAAGTGATGGAAATGTAATGCAGCAAAGCAATGCTGTTCTCGATCGTAAATTGAGATTGCTCCTATAATTAGCTATATTTGGCTTGATCTGCAAACACACATCTGAGGGTGAGTTAGGAGAGAGTCTGAGAAGATACCTGTGTAGACCTCACTGTGGAAATGGGCCTTGAGATGTTTGAGATGTGATAGCACAGTCACCACAAATCCCAGCGAGCTGTCTGAGGATCAAGCTGCTGTGCTAACATACCAGAATAACCTTTGACACCGTTATTGTTATGCTTGGGACTCTTGTTTGCTTTTGCTTTTTCATCTTTAAGCTCTCAAAATACTAAAAATACCCAATGTGTCTCTTGCAGGGATTTCTTCCAGAAGGTATGTTTGACCGCATTCTCACTGGACCCGTTGTGCGGGAAGAAGTAAGCCGGAGAGGAAGACGCCCCAAAAGTGAGATTGCTAAGGCAACAGCAGCTGCAGCAGCTGCCACGGCTGCAAGCGTATCAGTTAACCCTCTGCTAGCTAACGGATTGCTTCCGGGAGTGGATCTGCCGAGTCTTCAGGCCTTACAACAAAACCTGCAAAACCTGCAGTCGCTGCAGGTAACAGCAGGATTAATGGGAATGCCAGCTGGCTTAACTACTGGAGGAGAAGCTAAGAACGTGGCTGCCATGTTCCCCATGCTGCTGTCAGGGATGGCTGGATTACCAAACTTGCTGGGCATGGGAGGACTTCTAACAAAGTCTACAGAATCTATTTCAGAGGAAAAAAAGGGAAGCGATTCAAAGGAGGCAGATATAAAGAAAGAAAGGACAGAAGACCAAAATACGGATACTGGTGGTGAAAACTCTGTTTCAAGTTCTCCGTCAACATCCTCTGCTGCTGCAGCTGCCAATCCTCTCTCTCTTAACCCATTACTTTTGTCCAACATACTTTACCCAGGGATGCTTCTCACTCCAGGCCTTAATCTTCATATCCCAGCTTTGTCTCAGTCTAATGTTTTTGATGTACAGAACAGTGAAAGCAATGACACAGGCTCAGCCAAGCCCACAGAAGAAAAGGAGGAAAATTGTAGGGTTAGAGATCAGGAAGACAAAGGGGGAACAGAGCCAAGCTCTCACAATGAAAACAGCACAGATGAGGGTTCAGAGAAAGCAGATGCTTCATCTGGATCTGATAGTACATCGTCTTCATCTGAGGATTCAGATTCTAGCAATGAAGACTGACCCCAGACTCTGCACTTAAATTATAAACTGATTTTGAATTTATTCTTTAATTATTTCATTGTAAATAACCCAGTGTTGAGTGCATCAATGATTTACTGACCGAACATTTCAGTATTTGTTTAGAAGTGCAAACTGCTTTCAGAGACGTTTTGCATGTAATATTTCTTGAAGTTCATAAGTTTCTGAACTTGTATGTACTATCAAATACACAATGGTGTAAAATTACAACAAAGGCATTATAATTTTGTTGGGGGGTTAATTTTATGAAAATAATGCTCAAGTAAGAGCTGTATATTTAATATATTTGCAGTGAACACAGAATACTTTATGCATATTATTGATTTAATTTGAATATAGTTTTACAGCCTCCTTGACACTTATAATTTACAGATCAAAACTCAGCAATAATTTGGGCAGCTAATGAATGTCATGAAAGCTGTAGAATCTACATCACCATCCATTGCTTTAATTACATGAAAATGCTCTAGTGTTGTGATGCACTGCTGTTTCCAATTCAGGTACAAGTGTGTTTAAAAGAAGATAAATTTTTCCCAATCAGCCAATTAAACTGGCTACCTGTTACCTCAGCTGAGTTAGTTTAGGAAGTTTACATTGGTTTCTATTACTTGTTTTCAGGTTTTGTTTTGTTTTCTAAAGACATCCTGTATATCATGTTAAAATCTGAGTTACCTGAGATATGACTGTTGGGGTTTTTTTCCCCCCCCTTACTACAACTGTTCCCTTTGACAGCAGTAAGGGGAAATTAAAGCAAAAACTGTCTTATCTCATGCTACTTGGCACCATGTAGATCTATTTAGTTTACACCTTGCAAAGTTTTGGGCTCCCTCCGCAGAATTAGAAGTCCCAAAATGAGGAGTAGTTTCCCCAAGACTCAGAAAAGGCAAACTGTCATAAAGTGCCACTGAAAAGACCTTTCAACACTGCATAATTCATGTAAAAATTGTTTGTTTGCTTTGTTTGTGTAGATTTCTATTTGTGTTTTATGTCATAAAACCTCCTGGAATTACCAGTTAATAATGGTAAATAAAGTATAGATAGTTTTGAACTCCTTTTGAGTTTAAACTTTTCTGCAGATTTAAATCTGACTAAATATTAAATATTACCCAAAATCATTATTGGGATATCACTTCATATATTATGCTGAGTTACCCACTAAAGAAAAAGCACTTTGAATAGTAAGGAAGACAAATTATTCATAGGAACCACAGTAACAGGGCATAAGGCATCTGTTCAAGTCCAAATCCTTAGAACCCTTTACTATATAAAATCTGTCTAATATTTGATGTGTGATATGATTCCTCCTTCTTAAGCTGCTATTACTCTGACACAGCCGAGGCCCAGATTCACATTTACAGAAGTTCTGAACTGACCAAGACTTCAGTTGACCTTGGTTACATCGTTTGCGGTCCAAGAATAGGCAAGTGTTAAGAGAAGATAGATACAGGTACTAGTAGAAGTCATTGAAAAAGCTTTACAAAGGGATAAATTTAAAAATAAAAAACAAAAACTGTATATTTTGATATAGTTCTGTTGCTTGCTTGTACAGTAAAACAACTGTGTTGTTTTTTATCAAGAACTTTACCAATGAAATAGAAGTTTCTATGTGCAAAATAACTAGCCCCATCATTAGAAGCAGTATTACATGTGATTACACAATTACACAAATACCATTTGGATTGTGCTGGTTATGTATTTTCCCAAATAGTATTCTGATTTTTGGCCCTTCATGCAGTGTCTTAGCAATAGTGAAAATTAAAAACTGCCAAGAGAAGGGGGTAGCAATTCTTCATCATGAGGAAAAAAAAAAAGTAAAAGTATTTCATATTTAATATTTTGCCCTTTGTAATATAGCACTTTTATTTAACGAGGATGCATCTATGAAATAGCCAAAGTTTTGCAAACAGTTATTAACTTAGTTGCTGATGGAGTATGTCAACGATACCATCACTTCCCACCCTTACCCCACAAAACAAATCCGAAATCTTGTGGCTAAAACCTAATTTATATCAGATTTATGAAATAAAGTATTTTCCTAATGATGGTCAAGTGAGTTTGGTTACCATTCTAGTGATTCTTTCTGTGTAATAAGGCAATTACAGTTTCAAGTAATGAAGGCTGGTGTAGACTTGAACATAATATATTGGGTTTATTTTTAATCAGTTTGAACCAGAAGGGGAAAAATGTCCCACTATCAGCTAAACTATATGCAAATACGGTTGTATAAAGTTAAGGGTTATAAGGAAACCTCAGTAGAATTACACTAATACTGAAGTTAAAATTAAAAGGATATCCAAGGTGATGATAAAGTGTGTGTTGGTAGTTACTAAAAGAACCTTAGCTGTTATTGCCTTGTATTTCTATCCCTTGTTTCAGGCTTCATGACCCAAGTCTTAGTCCAGTTTTTTTTTGGACATTTGCAATATTTGCCAGTTGTGTTCTGTGTAGTCTGAATTTGCTTTCTGTAGTTGAACAAGCGTCTTAAAAAGTCATTTGTAATTTATTGAATTACTTTCTATGATGTTCTATAGAGCAAATGGAAGTTTAATTATTTTTTATTAAACATATTCTTTGACTACCCATGATGTCGGCCTCAATATGTGAAAATAATGCTCTCTGTGTAAGGATTAAACACGTATCTTTCAGCAGCAAAAGTTAAGTTTCAGTGTCAAGCTCTAAAACTGAAATTATTCTTAGGACCTTAAAAAACTCTAAACAATTCAAGGCAAGGATGTAAATTCACTCCCACCACCCCCCACCCCCCCCCGCAAAGACCGTGCTTTACTGTCGTATAATTTTCCCTGTAATTCTGTTGTCTTACAAACAAAGTAAGCTGTTGTTCCAGCCCTTCAGTAGTTATGGTTAAAAACAAGTATACAGTATAGGTTCTGGTCCAGAAGGTGACTTGATTTGAAATAATGATGCATATCGTCTTCTAGCATAAGCGTGCTGGCAGTGGAGTACCTTCTGAATCTTTCTTTTTAAAACTCTGCATTACTTTGTACATGTTTACTAAATCTTTCAATTATGTACACGGCACTTACTATTGCCATTTTTCATATATTTCATACAGGGCACGGATATTTCTCCTGAAGGCGAGTTGTCTCCTGGTTGTCAGGTGCCTTCTTGTTTAAACCTGTCGTTGCACTTGATTCAGTGGTATCCTTCTTATTTATTCCGGTCTGAATTCTGTCTTCAGATCATGATCAACCTTTCTGAGCTTCTGCTTTCTCAAATGTGTACACAGGTGATACAAATGCACATACGTGTTATCAGCTCTCTTCTCCATGTTCTTGCCTGTTTCTTTTTTCCTTGGAGGTTCTGCAGAATCCCTAATAGTATTTTCTGGAATATATTTTAGCAGGTCTATTGAAAAACTCTCACAGATTTTAAAAAAGGAAAAAAAAAAGGGGGGGGGGGAAGTAATGTCTTGTAATTTTACAATCCGATCCTTGTAGCCTGTAAATCAAAACATAACTAGATCTATTTTTCAATGAAACTCCCTTCAAGGAATAGATGATCAGATTTCTTTTAAGAATTCCCAAGCTAGCTGGCATTAATCAGAATCTAGCACTTATCTACTTAAAAGGAGAAGGACATTTTCAAATTAGCCATATTAAGGCTATGATTTTTATTTTTTAACACTGCCTCCTTTCAGGCTGTCTTGCACCAGCAAGGAAGGAAAGTGTCATTGACAAGATCCAGCCGAAAGGTTACTCCGAACAATTAGGACTTTTTTTTTTCCCCCCACCTCTTGTCTGCTTCAATTGTGAACAAGACCTAAGAGTGCAAAATTGCTGGTATTCCAGGTAAAGTCTCGTGCCTAACCCTTTTACTGTCTCTTCTGCGTATAAGGGATCCTGGCTGGTTTGGGAACTTCTTGGGATCCTAATGTTAGATACGGTATCATTGTCTTCACCAGTGCTCGCCAAAACTGACAGCACGTCCTCAAGCTGTTTTCTGTTCTCAGAAGAGAACAGCTTTGACTTGGGAACTACTGTGTCGGCTCCTCTGCTTCACACTGTTTGGTCTCTGTTCAGCTTCTCGAAGCAGGTGGTAGGAGCTTGGCTTTTTGCTCCTGTAAACACAACTTCTAACTCCTGGTCCCGAAACAGGGTAAGTGTACACTGCTTCATTTTTTAATGCAGCAGCAATTCTAATCTGAATAAACTGTTTTGGTTTTTTTTTTTTCCTTTTTAGTTTTATGCTTCTCAGAGTCATGAGATGAAGAAAACTCCTTTCCAAAAGGCAGCTGAAATCTTCATGCAATCATTGGTCTTCATCAACTGAGGCTTAAGGTAAAATACCAAATGTTGGAAGATTCTGATAAAGTTATGCACATTGACAAAATAGCATCAGAAGTATCAGGAGACTGGCTGTGTTGGAAGCGTCCCAGGGAGAATACAGGAAGAAAGACTTCTGTAGTGTGTTTTTCTCCTTACACAAGTACTTCCAAGAATGTGTCATCTTGGGCTTTCTGTAATAGGAGATCAGACTTTGCCTCCCAGACTTTGTCTGGGAGGCCACCTTATTTCCCTGCAAGTGGACAACATTAACCACCACTTGTCATAGTCAATCTTCAGTACTTGGGGTCAGTGTAGTCACGGCCTGTGCTATGACTGTGCACATTTTGTTTGGCCTCAAGATTTGCTACCTGTTCCTTGTATTTTGCAAGGAAACTACAGTTTATTATCCAAAGTCACCTGGATAGAAAGAATTCGAGGCCATTTGCCATATTTTTGTGCAACCCTATTTTGAAAAGTTTCACTAGTTGTTCTGTGAGCTGCAAAGGGTAGCTGTGTCTCTGGAGTGCCACGTGCCTGACAAGCTTTCCTTGCCACGGCTGCATTCCCCAGTGTGACATGAGCCGGAGTGGGGCACAAAAAAAATACATATGCCTGAAGCCCTTTGATGCTCTAGGTACCATGTGTAATTCATACAGAAGTACATTCCGTAGCATGCTCATGAGCTAAGCGGTTGAAACTTCAAAAGAGTGAAAAACGTGTTTTATTGTAGGGTAGCCTGGCAGCTGTCAAGGGCCCAGACCGAGAGGATGTATGTGGTATCCCGGTTAGAGTTTTGCATTGGTGGTAACACTAGTGGCTGTAACTTACTCTTACAGTATTGGTAGATACAATATGGAATCCAGTCATGGAAATTATTCAAGTAACTAACAGGCCAAATGAGGCTGTCTATTTCAGTGTTCATGTTGATCATTGCTGTTGTCTCAAAATTCTTGCTTCTTTGTAAGGAGAAAAAAGGGGGGAGAGGTAAAGTGGAGGAACCAGTGAAGTTAAGTCCTCAGGTATGAGATTTCAGTGTGTCTATTTAGAATCTAAAATGGTTCTTGTTTTAAGCTTTCAGTAGACCATTACATGAAAAATTACCTTTTTTAAGTCTCCTATACAAGAGCAGTCAAGTCTGGATACATGGAAACACAGGGAAGTATGCAGGTGTAATCACAGCATAACTATCTCTACCTTTAACCTAGGCTTTATTAGTCTTTCAATACTGTGGCGTTTTGATACTTTTTTTATCCAAACTATTTTGAAGAGTAAATTAATGTTTCTCAGTAGAAGGTAGAGTACTGTAATAAATTACTCTGCTTTCTGCTTTCACAAATGCTGTAAATCTTGCTTAACAGAAAAGCCCTACAGTATTATATGCAGACTTCTGGGTGGCAGAGAGCTTCCCATCAATGCCCTATATACTTAGAAGCATCTGCTGCCTCACTGCAAAGTTCACATCTTCTCTGTGTTAAAAAAAGAGATGTAAGACATTAGCAACAGTCTAACATTAGTTTTTAATGTTGCAGTGAAATGTGCAAGACCCCCAAGTTGTCCTGTCAGGCTGGGGGGCTGCAGGCTTGGGGGGACCCTGCCGCCAGCATCATCTTCCAGCGCCAGCTCTGGCTTTCTGCCGCCATCTGCTGCTCTCGCTGATGGCTAAAAACGCATACTCATGCTCTGGAAATTACCTCGGGATAAACTAACCATCTTTTCTTGACATTTCCTTTCTTCCCCTGAAACTTTCATTGTTGTTAGCTTTGAAATATTAGTAGTACAAAAGCAAACATACATGGTCAATAAACCTCTTCTAATGAAGTACAGTCTGTTTTAGTGATCTCTTAATTCACATGTATCTGCTGTAGGACTGATAGCGCCTTAAGGCTTATTTTTGAGACTCTGCTTGGTAAGGCCTTCTCAGCTTCTCGCTGTCTCTTTCCAGCGTGTTGCTGTTGATCCTTTGAAAACTGCACTCATATGATTCACTTCCAGTTACTGGGACAGCCATTTAAA